GGCGGCGGCGGCGGTGGAGGAGGAGGCGGCGGAGGCGACGACGGCGGCGGCGGCGGCGATGGCGGCGGAGGCGTAGGAGGAGACGGCGGCGGCGGCGGCGGCGATGGAGGAGGAGGAGGAGGAGGTGACGGCGGCGGCGGCGGCGGCGATGGAGGAGGAGGGGGAGGAGGTGACGGCGGTGGCGGCGATGGAGGAGGAGGGGGAGGAGGCGACGGCGGTGGCGGCGGTGGCGATGGAGGAGGAGGAGGGGGAGGTGACGGCGGCGGCGGCGGCGGCGATGGAGGAGGAGGGGGAGGTGACGGCGGCGGCGGCGGAGATGGCGGCGGCGGCGGCGAAGATGGCATCTGGGCCATTGCTGGCGAGCAGCTGATTAGGCAGACGATGAGGAGCAAGGCGAGGCTCGTTGGCTGCATGGCCAATGGTGTACAAGCTGGCATGCAAGGCGAATCTGTGTGTTGGTGACGGAGGGTAAGAGAGCGTGCAAGGGGGGGGGAGGTTGCTGTTGTTGTTGTTGTTGTTGGGGACTGAGAGGAAGCTGGCTGACGAGCCCGTACCAAGTGCTGGGATATGTTCTTGTCGTTTGTGGCGGAGGCCAGGGGTGGTGGGGAGGAGGGCGGTGGTGTTGGAGGTGGCCGAGCGGTGAGCAGGGGGTGGAGGAGGAGGAGGAGGAGGAGGAGGAGTGTATGTGGTGGTGTATGCGTTAGTGGGTGGTGGGTGAAGTATGTCGCTGCCTGTCTTCTCGCTCCTCCTCAATGCGAGCGTGCTACCTCCCTTCCCGTGTGTGGAGCCTCCCATTGCTTTGCATACTTTTTTGCTCCGAAATGGGAAAAATTCCGCCCTTATCTAGCGGCCTCCACGTGGGGCGATCGTGACGGCGGTGGTGGAGCAGCCAGCTAAGGACTACAGGAGTGCGAGCGATGTTTCGGGCACGGCTAGTCCCGTCCTCGGCGTGTGGGCTCGTAGCAGCAGGCGGTGGCGTCGAAATAGGGGAGCTGGGGAACGTTCAAGTGAGAAAACGTCGCGGGAGGTGCGGGCACGTGAGAGAGCTGGAGCACGTGCAGCAAATTCATGTGAGCAAGGCAGATCATTGCCTGATCCCAGTGATGCTGCTGCAGTAGAGCTGTGTAGGGCCCGGGGTCGGGCCCGGGACCGGGGCTGGGGAGTGAGGCGTGGCGGCGGGCAGCTCCTGGAGGCGTTGGCCGGGTTGAGACATGGAGCTGTCAGGAGAGAGAGAGTGTGTGTGTAGTATGTGCGGCGAATTACGAGTGGCAGAGAATCACTCGACAAAGCATGGCCAACTGTATTCGCGCCAAGTTCCGCTGTCAGCTACTCGGCCACAAAATTTGCCTCATTCATTTCATGCTTTGACAAGCAGCCATGGAATCGGCCAAGGTCGGAGGGCTAAGGCTGAGGACGAGCCGAGGCCGGCACCACTCGACCGATAACATGGGGAGGAAGCGGACGCGTGACGGAGCAGCCAAGGCGTCGCCTGCAGCGACCCGGTCAAGGAAGGAGAAGCGGCATGCGCGGAAGAAGGGCATTGTGGAGGAGCCGGTTATGTCGGACTCGAGCTCGGCGAGCCCTGCCCCAGAGGTGGCGTCGTCTGATGGCGAGGAGGATGGCGATCAGGATGGGGCGGCGTCGGCCTCGTCGGTGGGCTCTGTCGACTCGGAGCTGGCCATTGAGGAGGGAGCGGGCCTGAGCCTTGCAGAGACGATGGAGGTGGTGCGGGCACGTGCTGAGGCTGAGGCTGCCGAGGGCGTCGAGTCTGGCGACGACGACCTGGTTCACCCGTCCAAGAAGGTCAAGCGGATCGCTGGCACGGCCCACCCGCGCAAGGCCAACACACTGTGGACGACGCCCAAGTACCGCAACAAGCAGCGGACGCTCGTCTTTGGCACCCGCGGCCTCACCACTCGCTTCCGCCACCTGCTCAACGACCTCCGCCTCCTGCTCCCGCACTCGAAGAAGGAGGTCAAGATGGACGCCAAGGATAAGCTCTACATCATCAACGAGATTGCCGAGCTCAAGGCATGCAACTCGTGCATCTTTTTTGAGGCCCGCAAGGGCCAGGACCTGTACCTCTGGATCTCGCGCATCCCGCACGGCCCCTCGGTCAAGTTCCATGTCCTCAACATCCACACCCTCGACGAGCTCAAGCTGACCGGCAACGCCCTCCGCGGCTCGCGCCCGGTTCTCTCCTTTGACGCCGCCTTTGACGAGCTTCCGGCGCTCAAGCTGCTCAAGGAGATCTTCATCCAGGTCTTTGGCACGCCTAACCGCCACCCCAAGTCCAAGCCGTTTGTCGACCACGTCCTCAACTTTGCCTACATCGACGGCAAGATCTGGTTCCGCAACTATCAGATGTTCGACGAGCAGAAGACTGCCCGCGACGCCGACCTCAAGCTGGTCGAGATCGGCCCGCGCATGGTCCTCAACATTGTCCGCATCTTTGACGGCTCGTTCTGCGGCGCTACGCTGTACGAGAACCCCAACTACGTCTCGCCCAACCTCGCCCGCCATATCCGCCGCAAGCAGACCGCCCAGCGCCAGCACAACCGCTCGCGCAACGCCAAGGAGCTCCGCCGCAAGAACAACATCATCTACCAGCCCGAGTACAACGAGCTGGCTGACGTCTTTGCCTAAACTCTCTCCACACTTCCAGGCTACGCTCGCGGCCACGCTCGCGAGACCTCCATCTCTGGACGCCCTACCACTGCTATCGCCTCGCGCGTCGTTGGGTGCGGAAACGCGACCCGAGCCGCATGCAGATGCAGGATTGATGCCGCCGGATCCCCATACCGCTCGCGGTTGCCAAACTCGCTGTTGTACACATCGTCGCCAAGCAGTGGCGCTCCCAGTGCAGCAGCGTGCACCCGCAGCTGGTGTGTCCGCCCGGTCAGCGGATACATAGCCAGAAGCGTGAGCGGCGACCCGTCGCAGCTCTCCAGCCCGCGGCGCAGGACCCGAACCACCGTCATCGCCGGTTTGCCCACCCCGCTGGAGATCGGCGTCGCCACGTTGAGCATGCGAATATCCGGGTGCGACGCAAGGCCTGAGACGACCACAAGCGCTTTGTGTGTTGCGTCCCACTCGAGCTGGAGCGCGGGCCAGCCGATGCAAGGCTCTGACGGGTGTACTTGAGCTGCCTTGGCCGCCGCCAGCACCGCGGGATCAACGTCGCCACATGCCAGCGCCACGTACGCCTTGGACACCAACCGCGACTTGAACGCCAGCGAAAGTTCGCGCGCCGCCATCTTGCTCCGCGCCATCACCACCAGGCCGGACGTGTCGCGATCGAGGCGATGTACATACTGCAGCTCAGGCGAGACCAGCTCTGGCGCAACTCTGGCGAGCTCGTCCATCATCTGAAGCTCGCCTGAGCGTGACGACGCTGTCAGCATGCCTGCCGGTTTGTGGACGACTGCCAGAGCATCATCGACGTAAGCCACTCGTAACCGCTCGGCAACGCCGCTCTCAGCAAGTGTAGACACCGTCGGCGCGTGGGCATCGCCGCGCGGCGGACGCCCAGCCTGTGGATCCGCCCCTGCTGCGCGGCACATAAAGACATGGCCGTGGTAGTCGCGCAGTTTGAGCTTGTGCGACGGATCCACAGGACATGTCACCGGCGACGGCTGATGCGAGTGGCAACGCTTCAGCCCGCGCACCGCCACCATCTTGCACCGTCGCCCGCCCTTGTGCGCCATCTCCTCTGCGCATTGTTCCTGCGAGCCCATGTACGCCGCCTCTAACTCGCCCAGCTCCTTCCGCAGTCTCCTCCGCAGGAGCTCGCACAGCGCAAGCTCCTGCCACCATCCTTTGGCCTCGAGGTCAGCGCTGGGGTCAGAGCTGGGGCCAGAGTTGGGGTCAGAGATGGGGCCAGAGCTGGGGTCAGAGCTGGACCCAAGCGCGTTGTTGTGGCCCATGTTCTCGACCTCGTCAGCGCCCACGCTCTCTCGCCGCCGCTTCCTCCGTCCCATGCCGCCACCCAGCCCATCGTCCCCGACACCAACTAGCCTAGCGTCTCCAATCCCACCTCCTCCATCCGCAGCTGCCATTTTGATCAATCTCGCTCACGTTGTCGGGAGGGGTGGCGGTGGTCGGCTTGACCCAGCTGACCGCCACGATGCCCCCCTCCCCTCCTTCCTCCTTCCGCCTCCCACACAGCGCCACACTCCACCCCACCCCCTCCACATGCTCTCATTCGCCTCCCTTCCGGCCCTTCTCCAATTCCTTAGCGCATGTAGGGCGTCACCGCAGGCGCGGGCACGTGCGCTGGCAGTGGCCGGACTGACTGGGGGTGATGCAGAGCTGCCGGCTGCCCTGCTCGAGCTGTACGAGGCTGCGTCCAACGAGACTGTCAAGGTTGTGCTGCTGGCGTTTCTTGGCGAAGTCGGTGTCTTGCTCTATCCAGAGCCAGACGCGTTGCGGACAGAGGGCCCGCGGCTGCTGCTACAGGGACTCATGGCCGGCCTCACAGAGCCCGGCTCGGAGCTCTCGGTCTTGCTGCGGAGCTCGCTGCTCTCTGCGCTGGCCACACTGCTGCTGAGCATGAATGCAGTTGCCCATGCGCCAGACATGGTCGACTCGCTCGTCTGCCTCCTCCTCGACAACATCGCCACCGTCAACGCAGGCTCGGATCTCCTGCGCGAGGCCATGTGCGAAGCTCTGCTCCAGCTCGAAGCTGCCGCGCCAGGCCTACTGGCTCCCAAGCTGCCAGCGCTGGCTTCGCTGGCCCAGGCCGAGGCCGGACCGGCCTGTCAGGCCTACATGCGCCTGGTGGCCCTCGTACTCGACAACGTCCTCACAGCTTTTGTCCACCTCCATCCGGGCGACGACGTGAGCTCGACCCACTCGGACGCGTCGGTCCTCGACGGAGCGCTAGCACTTGCTCTTTCCCAGCCAGCTGGCCCTGTCATCCCGGACATGTCGTACTCGCTCCCGCTTCCGGTCGTTAATGCTGCGCTGGCCGCCTCGGTCGCCTCGGGCTTGGTCCGCATGCCGCACCCGCTCTCTGAGCGACACGCGCGCGACGTCCGCACCCTCATCACCCTCTTATTTGACTCGCTGCGTTTTCTCAGTCCACTCGCGGTCCACGACGTGCTCATGGCTGTGGCCTCAGTCCTCGCCTCGTCCGGCCTCCCACATTCGCTGCTCAAGCTACCCGCCGCCAAGCTCCTCGCCTCGTCGCACATTGTCTCGCTTCACACGATACTCTGCCTCGTTCGCACTGCCCCATGGCAGGCCTTTCTCTCGCGAGCCGACGTTGAGGTCACGCTTGTTGCCCGGCTCACTGCGCTAGTCAACGGCCTTGCCTCCCCGCTCGCCCATCGGCTCCTCGCCCTCCACTGGCTCTTGTCGCTGGCTTCGACTGTGGGCCTCCATTTGGACGCGCTCTTACCTGCTCTCATGCCATCGGCGCTTGATCCACTCGAACTTGTTCATGCCAAGCTTGTGGCGCTCCCGCGACTCATCCCGCTTGCGGGCCTCGATCTCGGCGGCGGAGCGTTCCTCTGGCCGCACGCCGCGCTGGCAGCGCTTACAGCACTCGACGACTTTATGTACTGCGAGCCCAGCTCGCGCCTCGCCGCCATCTGGTTCGACGTACTCACTGCACTCTGGCGGGCGTATCCTCCGCTCCGCCGTTCGCTGCGCAACGCCTCGTTTGCGCTTGTCGCCGCCGCGCCACGCTTCATCCCGGCGCTCCTGGCCTGGATCCATGTCCTCGCAGCGCTGCCCGTCGACGCTTCGGAGTATTCGGCGACTTGGCTCATGGACGAGTATGCGAGCATGCTCGGTGAGGCGTGGCGGGTGCTGGCAGCCTCGCCGCTGGCAGCCGGCGGTCCTGCTGGCCACGTTGCCCCAGTGCTCCGGGGCCTCGCGCTCGGCGGCCTAGTCCCGTACTTGCCGCTTGTCGAAGTTATGGCCTCTCAGACTCGCATCGCACCGAGACCGCTCATCTCGGCGCTGGCAGGCTACGTTCGGCTGGCTCTCGGGAAGAGCTCGGCACTGCCGCCCGCAGACTGGCGGACAGGAATGGTCATTCTCGACATTGCCAACGTCTTCATGCTCGTCCATCCACTCGCGCTCTTGCTCAAGCCACTCGGAGCCCTCCTTACTCTCCTCCGCATTCACTACCCGGAAATTGTCGTCCGTGACCGTGCCGAGCTCCTCTTCCGTCTCCTCACCCATGCCCCGGCCGACAAGCTGCACCTCCTGTGCGACGACGCTACTGTCCTGCACGATCCGATCGCCACCATGCTGACTGCCATCGACAAGGCAAACGAGGCCTCGCGCGCGGCAGCAGGGACCAGCCCGGGCCTCCGCCCGCGCTCGCGCTCGCGTTCAGACTCGCTCTCAGCCTCGCGAATGCGCTCACGCTCGCGTTCAGACTCGCTCTCGGCCCATCTCGATGCCCACGATCCAGTCGACGAGCTATATGCCGCCCCCCCTGGCTTCCTTGCCCTCCAGCGTGCTGCGCGGCTGCGTACGGCTCCCGCTGCAAACGCGGAGCTCGCTTCCCCGCCCCCCAGCCCAGACCAGCCTCTCCTCACCGTCGCCGCCTACCTCGACTCGCTCGGCGACGCCGCTCACTCCCTCGACCTACACTTTCGGGTCCAGTATCAGGACGAGGACACGCTGGCCGTACTGGCGGCCACACCGCGGCCGACTGACGACTCGGGCGTAGTCCGACCATCGCGGCCGATCCCATCGTCGTTGTTTGGACTTGTGTTGCGGTTCAAGACGCCGCCAGCGCTCGGCACCGCCGCCGAGGCGACGGTACCGTACCTGGTCCGTGCTGGCGACGCAGCCGCCACGTCTGCGCTTGTCACCGTCGCACTCACCCCGCGCCGCCCACTCCCGTGTCTTGTCGAGGTCGACATGATTTACACTGATCAGTCGGGCTTTGCGGCTGCGGCCGACCTCGGCATGGTCAAGGTCGAGGTGGAGGACCTGTTCCTCGCGCCGCCGTGCCTTCCTCTGGCGCTTCTCGCCCCGCTCTGGGACGAGCTGTGGCAGAGCCTTGCCGGCGTCCACGACTCGATCCGAGTCTCACCGCAGCATGGGCTACTCGCACGGTATCTGGCAGGAGCTGTTGGCGCTGGGCTGGTCGTTGATGCATCCCGCTCGCTCGTGTTTGTTCCGCCGCGGCACCACGTTGTCTTCTTTGACGCCGCTGGCGGCAGCGCTGATGTGGATGCAACGAGTGGCGGTGACACACCGGGTCATGCCGACACAGGCTCGGTTGTCCACATCCGCACTGACGAGTGGTCGCTTCTTGCGCACCTCGACGAGTGGCTCGACCGGGCCCTCAAGAGCCAGTCATGACCGCCACAGCGGCGTCATCGCTCGCCTTGGCGTCGTCATCTTTCGAGTTGGGCGAAAAGTCAATGATGCGGATGGCTGACTCGTCGCCAGTGGTCACAATCTTCATGTCGTCAAAGTAGACCCGGCGGACAGCGCCAGCGTGGATGGAAATGGTGAAGAGCAGCGGGTAGTCGGGCCCGAGCTGCCAGACGGAAACAGAGCCTGAGGCCGAGGCCACGACCAAGCGGACGTCGTCAAAGACCAAATCGGTGATGATGCCAAAGTCTGGCGCCGTGTGAATGACCGTCATGGCCAGCGTGTGCATGTCGAAGGCGACCAGGCCGCCACTAGAGTCACCGGTGATGATGCGCTCGTCGTCAAACTCGACAATCGACGCGTTGAGCCGCGGCCGGCGCGCAGAGCGCAGCAAGTCGCCGGTCTCAAGGTCCAAGACCGAGACGGTCTCGGATGCACCAACAAGATACACGTCGTTGAGCGCGAGATCATGGTGGACAAGCCGGAGTGTCGACGTGTGCTCGCCGGACGCCAATGAGTAGATCTTGACTGACGACTGGAACGGCGATGACTTGACAAGCTTGGACGAGCCAAAGTACACACCCTCAGCCGTCCACCCGTTCGCGTCCTCAAAGGCATGCACAAGCTCGCCGCTCTCCATGTCCCACACCCGGAGGTACGTCCGCGCAATGCCGGCCACTAGCGAGCCGTGCTTGTACGGAAAGAACATGAACCACTTGAACCGTGACCGCGCGCCTGAGAGCGAGAGCACGCTCTGGACATGGCACGCATCCATGGCACTAGTTTCGTACGCCGAAGAGAGCAACTCGCCGAGATCGCTGTCCTCGGGCTCGGACGGTCCATCAGGTAGAGGGAGGGGAGCAGAAACCACGGCCGCCGCCAGCTCCTTGGCGCGCGCCACCCGGCGCTCAAACATTGATGGACCGGCGTTGGCATCGCGGTCGTGGCCCTGTGGTGGAGCATTGGCAATGTCCCAGATGTGCAGAGCATCGTCCCACCGCGAGGTCGTCGACACAATGGTGCCATTGACCGAGAGATCGGCGACGACCTCGGGCGTCTTGACCTCACGGACGGTAAACTCGCCCTTTGACCAGTTGAACTGGGCCCGATATGCATCACGCCACCGCCACAAATCCAGCGAGAGCCTTGTTGGACAGTGTGCATACAGTGAGCCACCCTGAGCTTGTAACCGCTCGAACCGCTGCTCCTGGAATCGTAAATACAGATACTTCCACAGCACGGTGTCGCCCGTCAGCCGGTGCCACCGCCGGCATACGCTCGCCGCCTTGCACACATCAACCGTCGGCAAGAACTTGAACACGTGTAGTACAAGCTCATCCGGAAGGTAGTCAAACAAGTCTTCGTCTGCCAACATGGTCATCATTGCCATGCCCTCCACCTCAGAGCGGGGGTGGGGGAGGGGAGGTGGGGGAGGGGAGGTGGGGGTGGGGGGGGGGGGTGGGGGTGGGGGAGAGGGGCGAGAGCGAAGAGGGTGAACGAGGAGAGCGCGATAAGGGGACTATGGGTGGCGACGAGAAGGGTGGGTGGGTGGGTGGGTGGGCGGTGGGGGGAAGATACAGAGACAGAGAGAGTTGCCCCCCCCCCCCCCCCCCTTTCTTCGTCGTCACCCTCTCGTCCAAAACACGGCTCAGCAAGCAACCAGCACGCGTGTGCCCCACCATTTGGGCAAAGTCCAGCCCGAATGATGAACGGTGGGCGATGAGCGGCACCCGGAGCTGCCCTCCCCTCCTCCCTCCCCTCCCCCCTCCCTCCCCCCTCCCCCACCCCCACCTCTCGGCCCCCTCCACGCCTCTCTCTACATCACCTTCCTCCCTGCGATGCTTGGACGACGCGTGCTACAGAGTGCCCGGCCACTGGCCAAGCCTTCAATGGCTGCTCTTGCCCGTGCATATGCCAAGCCAGTTGCTTCTGCGGGAAAGGGGTACGTTTGTCATGCCCATACCCGTCGTCGGTGGCCGAGTCGTGAGCCGCGCGAGTCACCAAAAAATGGCCACCAGCCAGAGAGCCGACCACTGTGACGGGGGCGGAAGGAAGGAGAGGGAGGAGGGGCATGCCGGAGGCTAGCCCGCCGAGGGTGACTCACAGAGTAGATGGCGGGTGTGGTGTGCTGGGTGAGAATAGCTCGGGGAAGTCTTCTGGTTCTTCTGCCGCCGCAAAGGGCGCTGCGCCCGAAGCCGCCAAGCCGCCGCCGCCGCCGTCGGGCTCAGCGGCCTCGGGCCCTTCGGCCGCCACGTACATGCTCGTGGTGGGGTTGAGTGGCCTGGCCGGTGCCTCAGGCTGGGTCTGGTCCAAGGCCCACGGTGATGACGCCTTCAACGACCGGCTCCACCGCGAGTGGCCGACCATCGGCGCAATCCTCGGCGCCTCAAACGGCGCTGCCGCTGACGCTGCCCTGACCAAGCCGCTGTCGACCCCGCTCCCGCCGCCCTTTGTGGCACCGGAAGCCTCTGCTGCAATTGGCAGCGATCAGCCGGCGGGTACCTCACCCTCTGCTCCCACCGACGCTGCTGCTTCCGCGCCCGCCGCCGATGCTGCCGCCGACGCCCACAAGCGCAAGGCCACCCGCATTGCGCATCAGTTTGACCCGCCGGCCAAGCACGCCGGAAAGGCGAGCAAGAAGAAGGCAAGCAAGAGCCACGGCAGCGCCACGGCTTACGACGGGCGGCTAGAGACGCTGCTGGCCACGCCCGACGACGCGCTCTCGCTCGAGGACCGTCTCCACAAGCAGGCCGAGATCATCCGCCGCGAGAAGGAGCAGATTGCTGCCCTACAGACCGTCATCGAGCAGCAGGCGCTAGCCCAGGAGGAGCGAATCCGCGAGCGGGTTGATGACGCCATTCGCCGCAAGGAGGACATTGACGCCAAGGCCTTTGACGAGGTTGTTCGCCTCCAGGAGCAGAAGCACGCTCTTGAGCTCGAGGAGGAGCGTGCCCGCCTCGCCACCATCCACAAGCTCACTCTCGAGCAGAAGGAGGAGAAGCTGCGCGAGCTCGCGCAGCAAAAGGCGCACCTGGCGGCAGAGAAGGCTGCCCAGGACGCTCGGCTGCAGGAGCTCACCGCGGCGTGGGAAGAGGAGCTTGCCGAGCAGCGCGTCCTGCTCGAAAAGTCGTACGGCCGCGAGCGCGAAGACCGTCTCGCCAAGATTGCCACCATCGAGCACAAGCTGACCAACGTCGAGAAGGCCGCCAGCGCCCTCGCCCAGTTCAAGTCGTTCTCCGCCCTCGTCCACACTCTCTCGGCAGACACCTTTGGCCTCACCAAGGTCCTTCTCGAGTCGCAGCCGTTTGACGACGCCCTCGACCAGCTCCGCCGGACCGCCCTCAACGGCGGCGAGTCGGTCATTGTCCTCGCCATCGACGCCATCCCGCCCGCTCTCGCTCGCGAGGGCATCCCCACCTACAAGCACCTCTGCGACCGTTTCGAGGAGGTCCGCAAGCGCGTCCGCCGCGTTGGCCTTGTTCCCTTCAACGGCGGACTCGGCGCTCACATGCTCTCCTACCTCCACGCAACCCTCACCTTCCCCAAGGAGGGCCGCGTCGCCGGCGACGACGTTGACGCCGTCCTTGCCCGCGCCCACGCCTGCCTCTTTGCCGAGGACCTGCCCGGCGCCGTCGCGGAGCTCGAGTCACTGCCGTCCGCAGAGTGGCCTGCCCGCCTCGTCGCTTCCTGGATCGCTGAGGCCCGCGACCGTCTCCTCGCCGAGCAGTCGCTTCAGGTGGTCCAGTCCGAAGTTGCCGCCATGGCTGCCTCGCTCACAGAATGAACTTGTCTGTCTACCAATGTCAGAGTCTTTACCCCTGCACGTCGGCTTCCCCGCGCGTGGCTAGCTAGCTCTCGTCCCATGCAACTGCCCGGATGCGCCCGCCCTCGGGTGAGCCGTCATCAAACGCCACGCTCACAACATATCGCTGGAGCGTCACTTGCTCCGATGCAATCATCCGGTCATACGGGTCCACCACGTAGCTCGCCGGCTTTTTCCAGTTGTACTTGACTCGCTTGGAGCTCTGCGCGTAGACCTTGGCCACCAATGGTGTCTCCAGCTCGAGCACTTCGCCGACCGCCGGCCCGAGCGAGAGGTGGACAAAGGCAAAAAGCATCTTGCGCTCGCCTTTGCTGCTCAACTCGTCGAGTCCAAGCTCTGCGTCGAGTGCCGGCGGCCAGTCGGCATGGACGCGGAGGTACCGCCCATCCGGCGACGGCTCGCTCTTGACAATCGGTAGCGGCGCGCCCGAGTGCGCTACCGGCGACGTCGAGATGTACACAGCAAGCACGTCCGAGACAAACACCGCGTCGGAGCCCATGCCTCGCTCTGCAATGTGAAGTACAAGCTGCCGCGGCCATCCGCGGCGCAGCACTAGATGCTTGCCCGATGCCTTGGTCTTCCACGCTACCCGCTCGTACCTGGGCGGCACCGCTCGCGTCATCTCGTGCACCGTCGCCTTGAACGCCACAAACATGTGCACATCGTTTGGTCGCAGCGCTGAACTCGCTCCAGGCTCGTTCGGCAACTCTGCTGCAAGCACCACGTCGGGCGTGACTCCCACAACTCGGGTATGTGGCGTCGTCACGTACGCACCGGTCCGATTAGACCATCGCGTTGCCTCAGCCTCAAAGCCTCCAGGTGTGCCCACGCCACCAGGCGCCCCATCCGAGCCCTGTCCGCCACTGGGTGACGACGATTGTGCACGTAATGCAGCCATCCGCATGCTGGTCTCGACCAGAGCCTCGGCATCACCACCGGGCGACTGCGACCGCGGGCGTTGCCCGCCTCGTTCCGTCTCGACTCGCCACATACCCGGCGAGCTCGGAACTGCGGCGATCGGTGACGCTGGCGCCATTTGAGGTGCTTGCCGCACAGGCGCCATCGCTGGCTCGATCAGAGGCTCCGACTCGGGCTCGGGCTCGACTGACGAGCGCGCTGCGGCCGCAGCAGCCTCGCGCGCCGCCCGCCGTGCCGCCATCACTGCCGCCACCCGCGTCTGCGAGCCACTCGCATCCGCCAGCGCCACCGGCGGCGGTGAAAGAGCGACCGTTCCAGGCCCGACTGGCCGGCCAATGCACATTGCCGCCTCTGGAGGTGGGACAGAGGCCGTCACGGCCGGCGGCGCCTCTTCCCGCACCGTGCCACGTTCCGCGCCGGCGCGGAGGGCGGGAGGCGGAAGCGAGCTTGCTGGTCGGGAGCGGAACTCTGTACCGCCACGACCAACACTCCGTGCAGGAGGTAGCGCCGACGAGGCGCGGGCGTACTCACGGAGCGAGAGGTTCCACAACTCGCGCTGTTGCTCATGCCGGGCGCGCCGGGCACGGATGCGGGCCTCCAGGCTCTCCAGTTCAGCAGAGAGCGCCCGCTGCGGGCTCGACGAACCATGGACCCGCGCTTCCAGGGACGACATGACCTCGTGTAGCTCACTCTCTATCCTCTTTGGAGAAGAGTGGTCGTGGCTGTGACTGTGACTGTGACAAAGGCAATGATGCCGACAGCGAGATGCCGGACGTTTGCAGCTCAACGGACTATGCGCTCGAGCGGCCGGCCGTGACCAAGACGACCGGCTCGGCGTCATCATTGCCCGATGACTCGTGTGTACTAACTCCGCAGAGGCACTGAAGGCTTTGGAAGAGGGACTACTCTTCGCTTGATGGCAACTGCATGTCGTTGGCTGCAGACGGTGAGAGTGAGGCGCGGAGGAGAGCAAGCTCAATGTCGTCGGAAAAGTCCGAGGTTGACGAGAGGTTCTCCACAAGGCGGATGTAGGTGGCCGGGACGTCAGGCAGCGGTCCGGGCGGGCTCTGGCGGAGCTTGATCCAGGTCTTGGCGGTGATAGAGCACATAATGATAATGGCGCCGACGATGGACCACGGGAGCGGGCGGTCGTGGAGGATGATGATCTGCCAGATAAAGGCAAAGACGACATCGAGCAGTCGGATGACCGAGGCCGTGCCGGCAGCAGTGCTCTGGACGCCCAGATTGATGAGTGACTGGCCGGTAAAGCCGCAAATGCCAATGCCAATAGAGCCGAGCCACTCGCTGGCACCATGCGGTGCGCGCAGCTCGCCTTGGCCAAGCGCGATGAGCGGCGGGACGATCACGCCCACAACGGCCATGTAAAAGGTGAGGATCTGGTAGTTGGCCGACTTGCCCACAATCCGGATACACACGTACGAGCCGGCCGAGCACCACGCGCCAAAGAGCGCCAGGCCGATCGCAAGCCACCGCTGGCCAGAGGTGACCGACGCATCGCTCGCCGCGCCCGACGACGAGCCAAAGATGGCTACCGGCTGGGCCACACACACCACGCCGACCATGGCCACCAGCGAGATGGCCAGGTCGAGCGCCGTAAACCGCTCGCCTAGCACAATCCGCGCCGCCACGCCGGCAAAGACCGCTGACGAGAAGAACAGCGCCTGCGAGTCACCCAGAGGAAGGTATTGCATGGCAAAGTAGATGGCCGAAACGCCCGAGATGCCAAAGACGCCGCGCATGACCAGCACGATCTTGCGCTTGAGTGGCCACTCGGCCTTGTACGGCGAAATGGCATGGTACCACAGATAGAAAATCGCCAGAACGAGTTGCACCATTGCCCGAATGAACACTAGGTTAAACGACGAGAGCGACGAGCCCACGACCTTGACCAACAGCGACATGACCGAGAAGACAAAGGCCGAGAGCGCCACCAGAGTGATGCCCACCACGTGCCGCCAGCGATCCGGCAGCAGTGCCGTCATCCAGTCGTCATCCCCACCGGTTCCACCGCTCTCGCCCTCCATCTCTGTCAGGCGGCTTGGTCTCACTCTTGTCATCGAATTGCTTCTGCTCGATGGCAATGTCGCCATCGCCTTCCCGTCGCCGTCAGACGATCCGCTGCGGGTGCAGCTCCAAAGAGTGCCGCCGCTCACGCTGTCCTCGTTGTCGCCGCAGTCCACCTCCGACTCGCGCTCTCCCTGGCTCACGTTCACGTCTCGGCTAGGCTCGACTTCGAAGCCTTCTGGAAGTAGCACACGCTCTGGTGGTCGGCCCATGTTGCCTTTCCTGCGTGTCGCTTCCGGTCGCTGTCTCGGTGACGTGTTACCCCGCTCACCGGCAAATGGAGTAATGACCAAATGCGCTACGCGGTGCGACAAAAGGCTGACAAGGTGCGGACTCGAGAGTAGCAACTGTTTCCACGGCTTGTTACTCTGATCCTCGCCTCGATTGGCCGCGAGAAAACAGGCCCATCGGGGTTGTGTCTGGTGGGGCAATTGGGAGTAGACCGGTTGATGGCGAGCAGGCGAGCTCGTCCGAGAGCTCGGTCTCTGACTCGGCCGACCCAATGACGCGGCCTGAGTCGTCCGACGCCCGGCGCGACTGGCCGCGCGAGAAGAGGCCGATGTCGGCGGGATCTGATGAGCCTGGCGCAAGTCCGCCTGGGTTACTTCTGTTTCCGACGTGGTCCAGCGAGCTCGACGAGGCCGAAATGAGCGTGAGGGTGTCCTGCCGCGAGAACGGCAGCTGCGCCGCAGGGTCCGGCGGCGGGACCACAATGCTGAGCGACTCGTGCGCTGATGACTCGCTGCACTCGAGCATGTCATCCGAGACGCCCGTAGAAATGTCGGGCAGCGTCGGAGTGCGGGAAAAGATTGCGCTAGCAGGCGCGGTGGACATGAGTCGGGCGTTGTCGTCGGGCGGCGCGTGGAGGATGGGCGACGAGCCCGAGGCCGCGACCGAGCTCGGTCCCGACGGCGCAAGCGAGTTTTGTGAGCGCGAGCTGTTGACCTTGGATCCCGAATTTGAGGAAATAATGCCATGCGACGAGCGACTCGAGTCGATGCTTGATGATGAGGCCGACGATGACGAGCGTGCCGAGCGGGCCGAGAGAGGCGAGCCCGGTGAGCGCGACACGGTCCGCGAATGTGAGCCCGGGATGGTCATGCCGTCGTTGCGGACTGGCGAGAGACCACCTGCGAACGATGACCTTGACGCAGTCTCCATGATCGACATGCGACGACGTGCGCGGATGGCGGGCTTGTGGGTGAAGTCAATGGAGCGGTTCTTGGCTGGCGAGGAGGGTAGCGACGACACGCCACTGACATCGGCAGCCGAGCCGCGCCGGCCGGTTGCCAGCGCAGCGAGCTGGCTCGAGAGCTGCTTGGCAAAGTCTTCGTCGGAAAAAATGACCGAGTGGTCATAGCCGGACCGCGAGATGGCGGTGGTACTTGCCATCTCATGCGACCCGGACGTCCGGCGGCGGAGCGTTCGCGGCGGCGGTGAGTCGCCGTGAGGAATACGCTGCCACAGCTGGTGTGGTTCCGACCCGGATCGCTGGCTGTCGTTGAGCTGCCCGCGATGGCGCCGCGGTGAGCGCGAGACTCCTGTCGGGTTGCGCTCGCAGCGTTCGAGGACTTCAAAGGCCACATGCGGCGAGCCGACAATGTCCAACACGGCCTGAAAGACTGCGCGGCGAGTGAGACTATGCCCGAGCCGTCCGCCCTGCCCGAGAGAGACCGACGGCGAGCGCTGGCGCACCGACGTTGGTGCGGGAGGCAACGAGCCGTGAATTGGTGTGCCCGGCAGAGATGGCGGTGGAATCGGCGTGATGAGCCCGCGGTCGTCGACAGATGAGCCCGAACGCGAGATTACCAGGGCGGCGGCGGTGCCCGGTCGCAAAGGCGAGGTGAGCGTAAAGATGCTGCACCACATAAGGGCTACTGCAGTGAGCGGAAGCAAGGCAAACCAAACCGCGGTGGCAATAGCGATTGAGACGACGCCAAGCGCCGGGTGCCAGCCACCAGCCCACTGGTGGACCGAGGCGATGGTGAAGCACGCCTCCAGTGTAAGACCGAGATGGAGCGAGGGAATAAAGACAGTGTTCAGCATGGTGCTCCAAAACTCTGACGCCCGGGCCTCCAGCTCACTCATTGCCACAAACGCCAGGCGGCAGATGACGGCAGTGGCGATGGCGAGGCCGGTATGCAGCGGAAGAATCCAATACCATGAGGTGACAGGATCCCACTCGCCACGGGCGGCGACAAAGAGCCAGGCCAACAGGCCTAGTCCTGTAAAAGCAAGGTAGACCGACGGCCCGGCGCGGGCAAAGACTTGCAGTGCCAGCCAGCGCGGGACCGTCATCAGCGGATGGATCTGCACCGCGGCGTCGCGGACGTCTGGCCGCCGCGCAAGCGCCCGGTAGACTCTGAGCAAACACGCGTTCTGCCACTGTTTGCTGCCCGTAGAGCCTGCTACCACCCGCCACAGCGGCGGAAGCGGCGGCAGCGCATCAGGCGGGAGCGGGAGCTCGGTCTCCCGGCCGGCAAGCGGTGGCGGGAGGGCCAGGACGGCGTCAAACGGTTCCAGAAAGGCTCTCGCGAGTACAATTGCCATGACTCCGCTTGCGCCGGCCGCCATCAAAGCCGCCAGCGCGATTGCAAGACCGGCAATGATGATCAGATACGCTAGCTCGGCAACGGTGGCAACGCCAGCCGCATCCGGGAGCGGGCGAAAGATGGCGAGGGTGAGCGCAAGGAACAGAGCAGCAAGAGCGAGCGGGAGAGCGGCAGACGCAGCGCGAATGAGCAGCGGGTTTGCCAGCAGTCTCGCCAGTGGATGAGGCGCAGCAGCCTTTGCCTGCGGCCAGAGACGGAGCAGAGCAGCAGCCAGTGTCGCCGTTGCCGCCACCACCACCCCACACACCAGCAAGGTCTGCGAGTGCCTGGCGCCATAGCTGAGGGCAAGCACCTCGCATGGCCAAGGTTCGCCCAACCGAGTGGATGACATGCCCAGGGCACAGAAAGGGGGGGAGGAGGTGGGCAGAGAGAGAGAGAGTTGGTTGGTCGTTGGTTGCTCGGTGTTGGTCCTGTCAGCCTCGTTACCCGGTGGAGTCTTGCCTGCCACACCTCGCCAACGGAACGTGCCGGCAGAAGGGGTGAACGGGCGAACGGGCGAACGGGCGACCTATGGTGGTCATGGTGATGATGATCGGGCGGGTGGGTAACGGAGGGAATGATGCTATCGGGTGCTATGAGGGTTGAGGGTGGCAGTGAGAGGGGGTGTTTTTGTTGTGCCAGTAGTTGTTGCGGATGAGGTGGGGCGTGAGGCGGCGGGCGGGGTGGGGGGGGGGGGGGGGGGGGGGGGGAGCTTAGCGGCGAGCTTGGGGGTCTGGGCACTCGTCTCCGTGCGGGATAGTTATCACAGACATATCTGCATAGACAGGCATGAACGAAGTGGCTCTCATTCATGGCTTGCCTGATGTGGTACTGATGGGCTGGAATGGGCTAGTCCGGGCTGTCACCCTCGGGCGGTGGCGGCCACTGACAGTGGCTTGGGCGGGGGTGGCTGTCATGGCGGCAGGAGTGGTGGGTGCGGCGTTGTCGGTGGCGAGGCGGATGGTGATGATGGAGCGTGTCGCGGGAAGTCATAGGCTTGTAGCGGAAGGGTCGATGCAATCGTCGCGGGCTTTGGCGGCAGAGATCATGGCTGGGTGGCGGCTGCCGGTGCCACTCCGGGCCGTGGTGCGGAGCGTGGCCATCGGCCTGGTCATGGTGTGGCGTGTGGCTGGCGGGCGAACGCGGAGCTGAGTGCAGGTGGGCATGGGGATGGCGTTCATGTTGATGGCTAGATGATGCCATTGGCGAGGGCGTCGATGGCAGCGACGGCGGCGGCGAGACCGACAGCTGAGATCTTGGCAAAGGTCGCGAGCACCGACGACGACGAGGCCTGGCGGAGGCGGCGCCGGGCAAGAGCCTCACGGGTGAACGCCGGCGTGCGGACGCCTTCCTCGGTCATGAGAAGCTTAGCAAAGGCAAGCTCGTCAATGTGGGAGCCGCGCCACTCGGACACGATGTACGGCAGCATGTGGTCCGGGACAACGAGGGCAACCCAGGGCGTCGGCGCGCAGTTGGCGTCGGCGTCGGCCGCGCCGGTGGGGAGATCGCCAGCGCTGGCAGTAGAGCCGCCATCGCGGAGCGACTCGAGCGCCAGCAGCCGCTGGACGGCAGCGGCAGTAAACTTGGCACGCTCTGACGTCCACACGTTGTGCTTGTGGGTGGCGACGTCAAGGACAAACGAGCGCAGGCGGGTCGGGACGCGGGCGGTGCCGGCCTTCAGCTTGGCCTCCAGCTCGTCCTTTGTGGCATCGTCGTCGTAGTTGCCCGAGCGTGCGGCAGCAGCGAGTCGCTCCTGAGAAAGCTGGTAGGTGAACTGGTAGCGGGCGGCGCGCTGAGCACGCGACACTGCCTTGTGGGCGGTGTAGTACCGCTGGAGGGTGATCCACTCTGGCCGATCGACGAGCCAGAGGTCCGAGCCCGCAGCAGCGGCGGCGCCGACGAGGCTCTCGGCGCCCTGAAGCGCCTCGACCTCGTCGTCGCGGACCACATCGGGCTGGTAGGCGTCTGCCGCGCCAGCAGCGGCGCGATTGCAGGCATCCAGCGCTTCCTGGGTCGACTTCCACCACGCGGCCGGAACCGCGCCGGTGCCTCGGACAGCTGCGGGAACCCGGAGCGGCGCAGATGCGGCGGCAGCTTCATCGCCGTCGCCGTCACTGTCGCTCGCCGGCTTGCTGGTTGGCGAGAGCCGATGCAGTAGCGAGAGCGGAGCGTCGAGCTCCATCTCTGGCGGCACGCCCGCGATCAGATGCGGGTCCAGCACACCGTCCGAAACAGAGACAAAGCTCCGCGCGCCCGCAAATTCCGCTCCGCTCTCGGGATCGACGGCCAGTGCAAGAGCCAGCGGCGTCTCACTCGGCTCCAGCAGAGCTAGCGCGTCAGCCAAGGCGTGAGCAGCTTCGACCGAGCCGACAGCAAAGGCATGGACAGCCACGGGCGAAGCCGGCGAGTACGGCAGCACCGTATGAGCCGGTAGGGCCTGATCATTGCTCTTTGAACCAGCTTCTGCACTCGATGCCTGTGACGCCATGGCTGAGGTAGTAAAGGCCATGGCACCGCCAGCACAGCGAAAGCCCATCGATGGGTCCAGCAGGGCCGAGCTCGCCCCCGTCCTCTGAGCGGTTGCCCGAGTCGTCACCACCGCCGCCGTCCTGGCGAGGACCAGAGCCCTGAGCGGATGCATGAAGTGGGGCGTGCTGTTGTGGTGTGGATGGGTGTGGTCTGTGGTCGAGTGGTGTGGCAGGGGAAAGGTGTGCGTTGGCGTCTGTGGTGAGGCGTGCGGGGTGTGGTGGGAGCAGAGGCAGCGGGGTTGGGGGATGGACGGCGAGCCGCCGAGTCAGAGGAGGAAGGGGGGGGGGGGGGGGGGGAAGGGACTTCGTGGCATCATGGACGAGGGAGGGGTGAAGAACGAGAGTATTCCATGTCTTTGGTCCCGGGATGCAGGCGATAGTCGCCGATGAGGGATTTGGCAAGAGTACATGGCTGGAGCAGTCGCATCAGGGAAAGCCATCAGGGGGTAAGGGGGGGGGGGGGGGGCGGGGAGTGGCAGTCGGCCGGACACGTTGA